TACGCTGGACTGCCTGCCCAATACTCTGAACGGAACACAAGATCAGGTCGAAGCTGGTGATGAAGCTGAGACAAACAAAGCGCTGCAAGCAGGTTTGGTAACAGCTAGCGTGGAAAAGCAGTACAAAATTGTGTTCCGAGTATTCCCCAGTGGGCGCTTGTACTGGCCGCCCATCCCCAGCAAAATAATCCACCACTTTGCACTGCGGCGATGCAAGATGTGGCAATACAATACACGATGGTTTCTGTCATACAAGCAACGTCTTTGACACACAATCGAAAGCTTACAGAAAAATGCCAAAATTTCAAGTATTGAAAATGGAGCATCGAATCAAAAATTGCATGGCTTTATGTTGATGTTGTCCAAGCATCGGACAGTCGCAACATTGTCGCATGGACACGTGATTTCAAAGCTCTCTGTGGCTCAAGGGGCACGAGTAAACATTTTGAAGAAATAATGCCCATAGAATTGTTACCATCGTAACAATGCTCAGACTCAGCTGCAAATTAAAACGCAGGTCATCATTCTGTGAACACAATGGCTCATCTGATTTATTGTGCGCAAACGCAAAGAGTTGTTTTGCATGCAAGCACCATCCCATGGGACGCGAATAAAACAATAAGCTGCCCCCATGACAGAGGTCTTGTGACTTGGCGCTTCACAATCTGTTGTGTTTTCCATTTGCTATACAATAGTGGCATACTCAAACCATTTAACGCAGTGACACCCATGCTTAACAACGGATAGCACTCCTTATCCACAAGCGATCGAGCCAGGGCAATGGCCATTGCTAGGATTCGACAACATTTCATTGATACTGAAATTGTCTTCCAACGCAGACGATGCAGGAGATCGTGCTTGGTACCAGGCAACAACGGCAATCACGGGAATAGGGTTCTCAAACTCTTGAATTTTGCATTGTTGACACCCACCCATCATGATGACTGGTGGACTCTCCGGACGTGCGGAGCAGTGGAATATGAAACGATGCGAAGGCTCTGCCTGTTGATGGTGCAGCGACCATTCCACGTTCCGATGGTCGCCATGGGAGCCACGCATAAGCCCCTCCCATATTCACGGGCAGCTGGTCCTTGTCTACAGCATCAGATCCACTGGATTTGAGAGCACACTGAACGATAAAGATGTTCCCCCCTGCGCGGACTGGCTCCTAATGAAACGCCGCTTATCACAATCACGGTCGCCACCAAAAATGTCAAAGGCAGCAGATGGATGTCTCGACCGGGCAGCAGATGAGCAACCGCCGGCCAACGCACGCAAATGTCACTGTAGAAAGGCCTGAAACTGCCGTCCAGAGCTCCGCAATCAATCGCGGCAGCTCCTCAAAGATCGATGAAGTCAAAAACGTCGGTTAGGTCCGTGGGTCAGGTCAGTCCTATTCACAATACGGCCGCGAATGACGTAGCAGGGCTTCTCCCCGCCTTGCCACGGCTGTGCAGCGAGGATGGTTGGCCAATTTTGGCGGGCAGTAAGACCGCACTCGAGGTATTGGTCGTGAACTGCAAGAAAACGGCTCAAGAACGGCCCAGATCGGCCGCCACGTTCGAAAAGGTCGAGCGCTATTGCGTTCAAGAAGTGGCGGACGTTGTGCGCACAGCCAGGGGAGTCAGGCAGCCAGGCCGAACGCCTAGACCGCCGCGCGAGAGACACGCGGACCCCACGTAGTCGTTCTTACAGCTGCCATGCCGGGTGCAACAATAGAGACTCCCCCACGGCGCTGCCCGCGCCCTCCGTACTTGCATCCGCCCAAGGCGTCCAACACTTCACACTATACCCTCTCTGCGAAAGAATTTTTTGATTCCCTGGAATCTTTCTATCGCACCATCGTATCGCCGCAATTCGGTCCGGTACACCCTGCGTGACTCGGTCAACTGCCACAGAATGCCCCACGGATCATATTTCCATCACACAACCACGTGGCGCCTCCACGCGGCCCCCTGGCTCAGTCTCATCATACTCCGCGGCAGACCGCGACGGGGGCAGCCCAGCTCCATCATAAGTGGGGGTCCCGTTCATAAAGCACATAGGTTCGCAAAATTGTGTGGTTTTGGGGGCGTCGCCTGCAGACTGGCCGGCGAACAAGACACGCAGTGCATTGGACGTGCGACAGAGTTTGGACGGCGATTGCCGGGTGGCCACCAGGCAGCAACTCACCACGGATACCACGTGGCTGGCGGCGACAGCGGGCGCGCCCCTTGACTCAGGCATGGATAGCACATAATGCTGAATTACGCGGATGCCATTGTCATGGATCTTGTGTTGTGGCCAAGCACAATAGGGGCAGACTTTCTTGCTCCAATGGATGGGGAGGAAGATAGTTGGCGGCGCCGCGTTTTGGCGACCCACCCCCAGGTTCCAGAGATGAGATCTCAGTTTACGATTTGAGTGCAGAGGGCAGGGGTGCACGGCCACAAATCTCCAACAGCGTGGACCAACGCGACCAGAACTGTTGTACGGATATGTTCAATATTAAGCACTGAGAAGATAGCGAGGAAGGCTAAGAGGGGGAAAGCAAGAAGTGTTTGAACGAGACACAGGGTATACAAAGTTCGCGACCTCCCAAGAAATCATGGAACCCTCTGGAGGCTACCATCAGAATCCTCTAGGAGGGTGGCTCTCAGCTCAGCGTATCTCGCGTGCTCAACGGAAAAAAAACCAAAAAATTGTCTTTCAACAAGTATATTGCTCAATGATAGGCACGAAAGCTGACACATGTATTATATGGCAGATTCCCAGCGAGTGCCAGTCCCAACTTGTGTTAACCGTTGCGCAGTCTGGCAGTCGATTGCCACCTCGGGCGTTCCTCACGCCCTGCTGCTTTCCCGCTACATTGGTTAACCGAATTGGCAAAATCTCTTTTCCCAGCACCGCTGGCGACTCCCCCGTTCGAGAGCCGTTGAATTGTAGCGGATATCAATCGCCGTTTACAAGTTGTGCCGATATGTCTGGAGCTAGGACACAAAGGCGTCGACACAAAAGATGCTTTCCGCTCTGCTATTCCGATGCCTTCGCCGCTGAGCAATGAATCGTGGTATCAGATCTATCCCTTCTTTGAATGCAGCCATCGCAATCTGTCACGCATCAGACGAAACGCATGCGTTTCGTCGATCTCGAGGGCCGTGTCAGGAAATTTGTCCAATCGGAAAACCTCCCTCAGAGACGTCGCGACGCCCCTTTTCCCTTAGTGTCGGTGGCGCAGCATAGCTTCAAACGTTGTTGATGGGTGGGAGTTTCTGGCAACATGAGTGCATTGAAGCTGCCAGGCAGCATTGGCGAGTTCCAGGACCGTCCGCGTTCACGCGCCTGCTGGGAACTTGTGTGACAAGGCGTTACACTAGGAAAAGAAGGGCCAAATAACACGTGTTCAAACGTGTATAAAGTTTACGGGTTTGTGCTATTTTTGTGTTCTTAGCGTGTACAATTACGATAAAATGTGGTTTATGTGTGTTCGCAAAAGTGTTATTTGGCCCTTTTTTTCCTAGTGTTAGCTATCTTGTAAACACGCCCTGATCTCCGCCTTGTTGGCGCAACAAATATATATGGGCACATGCGCCTGCTGTCGTGCCGAGCAAATGCACTTCATACAAATGCAGATGTCCAGTGAACACGTCGAGCAAGTAGTCAACCTTAATGTACAGGATGTCAGAACGTGACGAGTTGATTGCCGGGCCAGATGGGTTCAAGTAACAGGGTTCACATCCACCTGCACCCTCTAAATTACGGCGTGATTGCCAAATCGCTTCCCACATGCTGATGCGCCTCACGACAAAAAAAAGTCGCGATCTGCGCCATTCACCGGCGCCATACTCTGGAAAAAGAGGCTAGTGTCACGGACCCAACCCAAAGAAGTATCAACCACAATACCATGGTGTCAATACCCATGGTGTTCGTATTCCACAGCGCACTTCTCATTTTGCAAGAAGATTCCTGAAGTTGCGCGTGCCTGCAACATGCAACTAGTACCTTCGCACCCGCGAGACCGACACGGCCTCTTGAAGCACCAAACTGCCTGGGCAGAAAAGGGGTCCCCATCTGCTTAGACAATGCCGGTCTTCGCCGCCCCAACGCTGCAGTGACAGTTCACTTGTCATCATCATCTCTGTCGCTATATTTCTTTCCGCGGCATCCATCATCGTCATCGTCGTCGCCGCCGCAGTGCCTCCCATCGTCGTCGTCATCGTCGCCCTTGGCGTACTTACACTTGCCGTGCTCCAGGTACCATCCGTGCTTCAGCCACCTGCGGTGCGCACAGTCGTCAGTCCTGGTCGTTACGTAAGCGCGGCATATTTTGCACGTCTTTACGCGCAGAAACGTGAACCTAAACGTAAAAATCGTACCGCAAACCTGAAGAGTAAGCATGGTCATCCTTTCGTTACTTCGGTATCGATAAGGGTTTTCACATCAGATTCAATCGGCGTCTTCGTAGGGGTGCAGAATCTGGGGTGCGCGAAGCGACACCGAGAACGCGCACCGGAGCCAGCTATCGGATGCCTCCTAATGCGCAACGCAGCCGCAAATCCTGTCTAATAGCTTTTAGGGAACATATCTAAGACTCCTTATTAGGAATTTGTGTGCGTGTGAATGAATACTGTTCTGGCGCTTCCACTGGTATAAGGATGGCCCCTCTGCATGTAAAGCTAAAGTAGATGTCAAATGTAGTTGCAGCACATACAAATCAATACGTCAGCAGCCCGAATGATGACATCAGGGATGCTAGATTGTCCGACAGCATGCGCAGAAAATGTGTTTGCATCCCACTGGTGAAGGCGTAAAGTTACTCCAAAGTTTCGCGACTCGGACAACGCCCCATTTGTCAGGTATATACCTATGTATACCTATATATGCCTATGTATATATGCATGTGCAAACATCAGCCAATGGGCAGTCGCCTTTAGCGCAAAGCTCCCAGTACAAGGTGCTTCAGCAACGGGAAACATCTCCTCAATTGATCGTCCAAAAAATTGCATGTCTCGAGCACCGACTTACTTGCAGTGCGTGTAGTGATCCTTGTAGTCGCACTTTCCGCAGCAGTGTGGGCACTTCGAGTACTCATAGCACTTGCCATCCGATATGTACCACCCGTACTTCTCCTTCTTGCAGTGGCCATCGTAGCAGTCCTCGCAGCAGTGCGGGCACTTCTTGGTCTCGTAACACTTTCCGTCATAATACTTCCAGCCGTACTTCGTGCTGTAGCACGTGCACTTGTGGTAGTCCCAGTGGTCGCAGCAGTGAGGCTTGTAGCCTGGTGGGGCCAGGGGGAATCAGCGCGCTGGTCAACAATCAAGTCAAGAAGTACGGGAGAATGAAGGCGCCCATGCGAATACTTTAGGAATGCAGGAGGCAGGGATCTGGTTTGGGATCACCAGCTTTGCTACCATTCCTGTTGCCATTTCCTTCACTATATCCAATGTCTGTGTTCATTATAGAAGGGCCCACTGAGCCAACAACGCCATTGCGGCAAAATGGGAGGGCGTTTTGTGGAGCTGGAATCAAAGGAGCGCGTTCCGTTTCTCAAAGCTCTGTCACAAATGGCGCACGCAGGGCAGGCAGTTCCATCACAGCGAGTTCAGGATCCGTTGGTCCAAGGGCAGCGTGATCTTTGCAGTGTCGCATGTGCAGTTAGTGGTGCTGCTCGGGGCCAAGATAAGAACCTCGCGCAGTGCCCTTCAGAAAACTTGACTTACACAGAAGCTTCCTGGAGCGCTCGGACAGCTGCGTTTCGTGGTCGCCTGCAACGAAAGCAACAACCGTCAGCCCGTCTCTCGAAACGGAAATCGGCCACGGCGAGCGAATGGTGGTCTCCCAATGTCCAGCGTCGAAAGCACAACGCGATTGAGCAGTTCTGCGGCGAATTTCGTGGTTCGGCTTTGTGTGTGTGTGTGGGGAGCGCATCAGTGTGCTAATGCCGGCCCCTTCCATTTTGCCGCGTATACGCTCCTACGTAGGAGCAGCAGCCGCTGCCTGATGCAGAAGGCACAGAGTATGAGGATGGAAGTACGCTCAAACAGCGTCTCCACCGGATGATGCTGTTGAATGCCGGAGCTGTCCGTTTCGACACCAGACTCTTAGCCTCAAAGCGGGACACTGTCCGCAACTTGGGCGCGCTTTTCGCGCAGGCATCCCATGCGCATATGTCCATCAATGCCAATTCCGATGGCTTTTTCAAGGTGATACGCTTGGCACGCGTGCCCAGGGCCAGGGGCGACCAAATCGGCCCTGTGCGTTTTGGGCGGCCTTGGTGACTCCCCCTGACGCATTTACGCGGGCAAGCTTCGACAGCTCTGCGTGGCACCGTCTATATGCGGCAGCGCCGCGTGGATTCCATTGTGTGCAAATTGTCCAGGAAAGGTGTCATGGCGCCGCATGGGCATGAGGCATTCCGCGCGAAGGGGATCGGGAGGCTGGGGCGGCTCATAGCATCAGCGTGCTAATGCTGGCCCCTTCCATTTTGCCGCGTAGGAGCAGGAGTCGCTGCGTTGATGCGGAAGCCACAGACTAGGAGGATGGAAGTAATAGCGTCTCCATCGGATAATGCTGTTGAATGCCGGGGCTGTCCGCTTCAACACCAGACTCTTACGTGCCTCAAAGGCAACTTGGGCGCACTTTTCGCGCAGGCATCGCATGTGCATATGTGCATCGATGCCAATTCCGCTGACTTTTTCAAGGTGATACGCTTGGCACGCGTGCCCTGGGGCAGGGGCGACCAAATCGGCTCTGTGCGTTTTGGGCGGCCTTGGTGACTCCCCCTGACGCATTTACGCGGGCAAGCATGGACAGCTGTACGTGGCACCGTCCATATTCGGCAGCGCCGCGTGGATTCCATTGTGTGCAAATAGTCCAGGAGGGGTGTCATGACGCAGCATGGGCATGAGGCACTCCGCGCGCCAGGGATTGGTAGGCTTGGGGCGCTGCGGACGCGGACAACAAAACACCCTTCCCGATTCGGCCAGCACCCTCCTTCAGCGCAAATCGCGACAACGACCCCTCCCAGCGCGCACCGCTGCCCTCGACCCCGGTTTTGCCTCATTTCGCGATCGCCCATGCACATGGCCCTTGGCACCGGCGAACGCCGCGCATGGTACCGCCGGACACCGCAGCCCTGGGCAGGAACCTCGGCTGTGGGCACATGGTATACACTCTCCGATGTTTCTGCCCCAGAACGCGTCACCCCATGCGCCAGGGCGGCCTCCGTTTCGACCTTCACTCCGCGGCCTTTCGAAAAGCCTCCGCTCGGAATTCCAAAGCGGCGCGGGCGCCCTTTCCCGCCCCTCCGTGTCGGAAGCGCAAGTCCACGTGAACAACCAGTGCCAGGGCTGGCTGGGAAAACACCACCAGCGCACCTGTGGAGAGAGACGAATCTGCACGGGCGTCCGATGCGAGTGTGGCGAGCGCGGCCAGCGCCAGCAGCATGAACTTGGCGAGCTCCATGGCGATGCGCTCCTCGCAAAGCGGCCGAGCGCTCCGGCTCAAATAGGTGTGCACCCATTTAATCATCCTGCGTGCAGGATGATCGCCGCCAGGGCAGCTGGTGGGACGCCAGGTGGTGTTCCACGCTGCGAACTTCGTGAGCAAATTCTGTCTTGATGCGTGATGTGTGGTTGACAAGGCGGGGGTTTGAGGTGATGATGGCGTTGAGTGTACAGATCAATCGACATGGTGCGGACATCACGGAATCGTTGGTGAAGGTTGGGACTGGGCGTCCACGTGGGATCCATGGTGAAACGGATTGTGGCGGTAGCTTCTGCGTCGACAGGCGCAGGTGAGACTCGCCGGCGCGTTTTGTCATTGTCGGTGGTTGATCTGTGGGGAAGTTCCACCTGGATCGCGGGCATCAGTTTGAGGGGTGTGCATTGAAGCATTCCCGTCGGGGGGTGCATTGAAGATTGGCAGTTGTTGGTCACACATGTTCAACTGGATTTGTTAGGTTTCGCAAGGCACAGGCCGGCCGGCGTCCATCGCCGCACATGTGACAGGGGTTCCGCAGCCCCCTTCTTGTGATTAGGACTCTCAATCACCGTTTGATTGGCCGCTTCCATTGTGTCGTGATTGATGAAATTCCGTACCGCCACCACCAAGGGCCCTCCAACCCAACTTTCAACATTTGAAAACGGCACACCAATCACTCACACTTCTCACAAGAGCCAGCTGCTATGCGGCGCACCGCCCCCCTCCTGGTGCAACAGCCGCCAGCGTCCTGCCTGCCCATCTGGTGAAAAGTGAAGAAACTGGGGATCGCCCTCACGACGAATTTCACGATCTGTGCGCCGACAGGAGCTTGTCCACAGCCGAAGCGAATGGGCCACCAGTAATGCGGTGGTTACTTAGCTGAAGTTGCTGCTCTCCATCACGCACACCAATTGGCACGCGCTTATCGAATACCGGCCGCACCACGGCTCTGGAGCTGGCACCATGGCGTCCCGACAGCAGTGGCTGCTCTCGCTGGTTTTCGCCGCCATAGCGGCAAACGGGCTGGAGCTCGGCGAGCCCGTGAGGACGGGAGGTGCGTCTTGCTGCGTGCGCTTGCGAGAGTCATGCGCATGAGTTGGGGGCAGATTTCTAAGAATGCGGACAGATCCATGCACGGCGGGGCTGAGCAAACGCCGCGCGAAGCGGGCCGCTGGCGTGGCCCATGGGGCGCTGGCGACTGTGCAGCAGCCTTCGTTTTTGGTGCCGATCTTCCGTGTCCGTCGAGGCGAAGGCCCAACCAACATGCATTCTCGGCCGGCGGCCGGCATGCGCCCATTGCTGCGCTCAAGAATCGCCATGCTGTGGGGATATACTGGGTACCGCGCCACATATTTTGGGCCAGAAGGCCGTTCCACGGCCTGTCCACACATTTGGGAAAAGTACGTTGCGGATGGTGCGGACATTTCGCTTGGGACCCGTTGCAACAGAGAATGTGGTTGGCCGGTCCCGTCCAAGGGAAGCCTGTTTTGGTTCGGACCAAGGAGATGCCCCGGCGATTTATTCATCGTCGACACTCTCGCGGCTCACTCACCCACTCTCTTCGGTCCAGCCTCACACGTGGAGCTTGCACTCTGGCTGGCCGGAATCGGAGCCTCGTGCGCGTGGGGTCTTGCA